CCCCGTTCCCCGTTCCCCGTTCCCCGTTCCCGTTCCCCGTTCCCCGTTCCCCGTTCCCCGTTACCAGTTTTAGTAACATCCAGTATCTCTCGTCGATAAACTAGCGTTTGCCGACTTAAGATTTTATTTGGTGACAAAATCTTTACTCTTTGGCTTAACAAAGGCAGTCACGTGAATCCATTAAGAAACGACATTCAAAGGTTGATGTTTCATTACTAAATATCGTAATTTGCTCAATAAAGCAGCAAGCAAAATACGTAAAATTCAAGAGTTTTGATTAGATATTTTCGACTCAGATATTCTTTTGATTTGCATCCAAAAATATGTCTGTGAATATTCAAAGTGAACTGTTGAATTATTTTAGAAATCGTTTTTGTTAAACGTGGGTATATCAAAGAATAGAAGCAATTGGCAAGTTTTCTTGTCACAAGCGTTAGAGCGACCAAGAACACATCCAGCTTCTTTCTAGTTTTTCGAAACTCAGTGTTCGTTGGCAATTCTGTTTTTGACTTTGAACTTCAATGGGGCTGTCTCAATCGGGTATAAAACCATATTGACAATTCTAATTAAACTGCTCCAGAGCTTTACAGCAGATTGAAATGGCTTAGCAAGATAATACAAGTTGGTGCGTTATGTTATCACCTAAAATAACTCACTTCATTTTTAGACGCTTTAGTATGTTGGTAAGAAATCAAGATCTAAACCATAAAGAGTTGAGGGAACGAGCAGTGCAAATAATAATCGATACAAATTTGACACGTCGCTGATATATTCAGCCAATCAAATCCGTGTTTGGAGAGAAACCACGTCCGGCTGATTTCTGAGAAAGATCTGTGACAACAGGACAAAGCCAATAGGAGGTAAGGATAGAAAATTTCTGAGAGAGCTGCCGTAAAATATCGGTAACACTTTTTTAGGAATTTGTGTCTAATATCCCTTTTTTTCGTCTACTGTTTTTGTCTTGAGTGAAAAGGTTTAGAGGCTTCCTTAACGTCTTGGGACCGGCTAGTAAAGGAGTCTCAGTAGCTCATAGGATGACTTCCGCCACTTAGTCTAATACATATCGAAGGGGAACTAAGAGGAACCACATTCACTTGATTTCGGAGAATAAGCCGTAACATATAATATAGACAAAATGACAAAGCTAATAGGAGGAGAAGGAATGAAATTTTTGGGATGCTGTCGTAAAATATTTTCACGATACATTAGCACTTTTTAAGCACTTCTGGCATCTCTTCTAGATCTTGTAAATCTACACCGTCTTGGCTGAAAATCTTGAAGAGGTTGTCCTAACTTCTTAGGCTTGCTTGCAAAAGGTGTCTGAAGAGCTTAAAAGGTGACCTCTGCAATTCGTCTTTCCGAAATTCAACTGGAGACTGAGGCGGAACTTAACTCGCGAAGAACCCTGGGGCTGTTTTTGGAGACGCGAGCCAAAGTGATAAAGAAAAACATGGGGAAATTCTCGTGTTGTGTTCCTCGTTGCACAAATAATTGGCGTAACTCCCCAGATTTGAAGTTCCATTCACTTCCTCAAGATCCTAAAGTGCTCTCTAAGTATGTCAAGTTGATACGAAACCTTAATCTTAAAATACACTCGTCGAGTACAAAAATATGCGGCAAACATTTTCTGCAAGGCGAAAGGATGAGTCGTACACAACTCCCATCGATTTTTCCATGGTCTAAAGTTAAAGAAAAACGTCGTGAGCTAGTTAAGCACGACGTACCGTCCAAACGAAAAAGACGAAAACCCTTTCCGACCAAAAGTGTTTGTGTTGAACTCCACAATGTCGTGGAGTCCAGCGAAACCCTTCGAAAGGAGATTGAACAGCAAAGAAACCCGAAAGATGTGATTGTCCCAGAATTGATG